ACCAGGAGTGTCTTCCTCAATTTTTTTTTTTTTGAGACTGGATCTCTCACTGAACCTGGAACTTGCCAGTTCCTCTAGACTATCTGTTCAGCAAGCCCCAGGAGTCATCCGCTCTCCATCTCCCCTCCCCTCACCGGCATTGAGATTGCAGGCACATGGCGCCAGCCCATCTTTTTCCCTGAGTTGTGGGGATCTGGTCACAGGTCCCCTTTTTTTCACGATAAGCACCTTACTGACTGAGCCACCTCCCCAGTCCCGTGCACGATTTTTCTTGGTAGCTCTGTGCTCCACATTCTCTCTGAATATTAATTTTTGTATCCTACTTGACACAAGGATTGTTGTTGGTATTTCTCTTTGCAGTGTAGCTATTGGGTTATGGAATCCTCTGAAGAAATTTGGGCTGGTCCTGGAGAGTATTAGTGCCTCAGGGAGATGGACACTGTTGCTGTTGAGTTTTTATATCTCTACTGTCAGTCAAGGTACATAAGCATCTCCATATCACAAAGTCTTGTCAGGCAGAACCTTGACATTGTTCTTGTTCCGATAGGTACAGAAAGCTGCTTGGGGACTGAGTGAGGAAAGGGCAAAACTTGCCTCAGCTACTTACCTGCCTTCTATTCATGCCTCTCTGATACATGGCCAAGTTATGACTCTGCTACCTAATTTCCCAGACTCCATCACTCACTTCCTCTCAGATTCTGATAAAGGGAGACTGGAAGGCAGGGGGAAAGGAGAATTGGTGTAGATAGTTCTGTTTCCATAGTTACTTCACCACTGGACAGTGTCCAACCTTGAGCTTCCTTGTGTGCTGTAACTGTTGGAGATGGCTCTGAGGAGGAATGAGCAGTCTCCTGTGGTAGTTTCTCCGGAGCCTGATTCTCAACTCTGCAGGGCTCCATCAGTACGGTTCCCAAGGCTCCTCTGTGTTCCTAGATATCTGATCAAACTGGGAAACTCTGAGACTGTGTTAATAAAATTAACCTTGGATCGGGGGCGGATCCAGCAACTAGTTGACAAGAATTAGCCATAGAGAGTATGGAGGTCCTGGGAAGCCGGATAGAGAGACACCCAGGAAGGAGTAGTAAGGTGGACCAGGCTTTTTCCTTTAGGCTACCAACCAGCTCCCAAATCATGACACAGAGACTTATTATTGATGAAGGCTTGACCTAATCTGCCCTGACCAGCAGGGCACAACGGGTTCAAGCCCACGGGAACCTGGAATGAATGAGACAAGAGACAAGATGGACAGCAAGACAGACCTTCCAATCAAGCTGCCATTTAATGAAAGTTCTGTACAGGCTTAAATAGGGGAAATGAGGTAGGGGTTTGCAGGACAATAAGGGAGGGGTTGGTGCCTAGTAATCAGCTGAGGAGTGTTCTTGGTCATGTACCAAGGAGTGCGTTCTTAGTCATGTACTGAGGGATGCTGGCAGACCACCACTGAGGCTGAGCAGCAGGAATGAAGAGGTGTTAGTGCTAAGCAGCCTAATTGCAAGGAGGAGGGTTGAGTAGCCTAACTGTAGATTGCTATCAGCTATTCCTGTGAGTCCCAGTTCTACTCATTAGGAAGATGGGGAGGGGATGGACTATTCTTAAAAAAGACTAACAATATTTACAAGAGGTTTTAAATAACAATGATCGCTCCCAACATAATCTTAATGCTGTCCCACTAGTTCTTATAACTTAACCTGTTTCTCTTCATCTATGTTTTGCCTTGGGGATTTTTACCTTTCTTTCTTTCTGTACATCTTACTTTCACTGCTTTTCAGGTCTGTCTGACTGGTGGCTGCTTGGCTTCTGCCCTGGTTGTGTCCTTCTCTTTCTCTTTCATTCAATCCTCCTTCTTCTCCCCTTTGCCTAGATTTCTCCTCCTACTTATTCTCTCTGCCTGCCAGCCCTGCCTATCCCTCTCCTGCCTAGCTATTAGCTATTCAGCTTTTTATTAGACCAAACAGGTTCCTTAGGGAGGCCAGGCGAAACAAATACAACACATCTCAGTATAATTAAACAAAAGCAGCAGAAACAAATGTAACACATCTTTACATCATTAACAAAGGCAGAATAAACAAATGTAACACATCTTTGCCTAGTTAAAATAAAATTCTACAACAGAGAGGGACTTAGAGATTCAAGGGTCTTTTGGTTGGGGATGGAAGGAGGAATGCTCTCTTGCTGGGCTTCAGGCCAAAAAGGAAGGTCAGCTAGTTGTTTCTTGACTTCTCGGATTTATCAGGCCATCACCCCAATATCTGACCCCCCAGTCTTTTTTGGTGAAAGAACAATTTAGGTAAAAACAACACCTCTGCTCATCCTCAGTCCTGGCTGCTACTGCCATCACCACTTTGGGTTGTCTCAGCATTCTCCTGTCTTCCAGCTCCTGAGGTATCCGTTTCTTGTACATACATCCCCTCTACTGAAACACAATGTATTCCCTGCTTTTCTGAGCAGGCCCCATCTTTTCTGGCTTTGCTTTTGGGGTGGGGGGTTAAGACAGGGTTTCTCTGTGTAGCTTTGGCTGTCCTGGAATTCACTCTGTAGACGAGGCTGGCCTCGAACTCACAGAGATCTGCCTGACCAGGCCCCATCTTTTATTGTTGTCATTTTGTTTTGTTTTGTTTTTTTCAAGAGAAGGTTTCTGTGTGGCTTTGGAGGCTGTTCTGGAACTAGCTCTCGTAGACCAGGCTGGTCTCGAACTCACAGAGATCGGCCTGTAGGCCCCATCTTGTACACAAAATTATCCTCATGGTAGAATGGATACACTTGTCATAGATACACACTGAAATAACATATAAGGAAAAATCAGCCGGGCATTGGTGGCCCATGCCTTTAATCCCAGCACTTGGGAGGCAGAGGCAGGCGGATCTCTGTGAGTTCAAGGCCAGCCTGGTCTACAAAGCGGGTTCCAGCACAGCCTCCAAAAAACAATACAGAGAAACCCTGTCTCGGAAAAAAAAAAGAAAGAAAAAAAAATCAATCTCCCAAACTAATGTTGAAAGAAGCAAACACTGGCTGGGAGTGGTCACGTGCCTTTAACCCCAGCACTCAGGAGGCAGAGACCTTATCTCACAAAAAGGAGGAGGAGGAAGATGAGCAAGAGGTAGAAGAGGAGAAAGGTGAGGAGCAGGGGAAGGAAGTAGTCACATCTTCATATAAACCTTACTTGGTTCTATAAAGTTTCAACACTGGGAATGTGACAGTGCTTTATTGTTGAACACACAGGTGATAAAAGAAAAGGAAGAAGACTGTTATCTTATTTTTTGGGGTGGGAGTGTTTTTTGAGATGGAGTTTCTCTGTGTAACATCCCTGGTCATCCTGGAACTCAGTCTGTAGGCCAGTCTGGCCTCAGAGTTACTGAGATCTGCCTGCCTCTGCCTCTGGAGTGCTGGGATTAAAGGCATGTGCCACCAATGCCTAGCTCAGATCATGATTCTTTTTTTTTTTTTTTTTTTTTTTTTTTTTTGGTTTTTACGAGATAGGGTTTCTCTGTATTGTTTCGGAGGCTATCGGTCCAGCCCGGCCTCGAACTCACAGAGATCTGCCTGCCTCTGCCTCCCGAGTGCTGGGATTAAAGGCGTGCGCCACCACTGCCTGGCTCAGATCATGATTCTTGATCTCCAAACTTAATACAGAGCTGGGAGGTAGTTCAGTGTTAGAGTTCTCACCTAGATGTGTGACACCCTGAGTTCAAACCTCAGCACAAAGAAAAACACCTTACTAGAAATCTTCATTTATCCAGATGTGTGACTGCACAAAGGCCGACATAAGCCAATGGGCAGAATAGAGACTTCAGGAGGCAGAGGTGGTTGGAGAAGTCTTGACTACAAGTGCAGTTCCAGGTCAACCAGAGCTGCATAGTGAGATCCTGTCTCAACATAAAACAAACACAAGACAATAAAAGAAAACACAAAAACATACAAAGGCAATGATTTCTAGGATGTCACAGCAAAGACACAGTCAACAAATGAAAACAAAACAAACAAACAAAATAACAGCGCCAGGTTGGATTTCAAGGAAATTTTTTTGAGTATTAAATGACAGTATCGACAATTTTAAAACACAACCTACAGAATGGGAGAAAATGGTGCAAATCAGATTTGATAAGGCACTGAGTAGTCTTACACTCCGCATTAACAGGAGCAACCCAACTGAACACATTCAGTTCAGATCCTGGAGCTGGGTTATCAGGGATGGAGCAGGCGATCAGGAAAAAGAAGAACAGCATGGAAGCCAAGTGTAGCAGCGAAGCCAGACTGTGCCCGGCCAAGCTAAAAGCTAACCATTTTTGACACCCCCACCCCACCCCCAGGGTTGCAGCAATGTAGGTAGTCTAAAGGATTAACCCTTAAATCTACTGGTCGTTGCGGTGGCTGCTGCTGAGGACCCCCATGGAGTCCCGGGCGCCTAACTACCAGTAACCCCAAGTCCCTGTCCTGAGTGGTTTCAGATTCTGGACTCAGATGATTCGCTGGGTTCCCATCCTCCAGCCGCGGAGAGACTGGCTTGTTGGCTACCGCAAACGAACGCACCTCCCTATCCCCCGCCCAGCACACACAGACAGACATGCAGCCTCTGTGGCTGCCTTTAGTCTCTGGGTTAGCACCTTAAGGCAATCTGCAATCTCTGAAAGTGGCCCAGGTCTGACTGTAGGGCCTGGGTTGAATGGGTGGGGGGCGGGGCGGAAAAGGGTGCAGGAGGTGAGGGTCTCCATTCTTCAGGCTATAATGGGAGATCAGAGATAGACACCACCGATTCCAGGTTAGAAACAAGAGAAAGAAGCCTCAAAACTGAGACGTCAGGCGAGGGATCCCCAGGATTGAGTGTGGGGGTGGAGAATAGGGTCCTTCTATACACAGTCGCTGTCTCTCCGGGGGACCCCCTCCGCTCTCTCAGGGGCATCAGCCTTCCCCTCCCCCAAACCCTGCGCCCTTTGCGGATTGGTCCCGAGCTGCCGGGGGGCGGGACCCTATGGCCCTGACGTCACCGGTTGAGGGGGGAGGGAGAGCGAGCGGCTGGGGGAGGGGGGTGACGAGCCCCGGCTCAGCACCTCGGAGAGCTCCCTCCCCGGCCTTGTTTTGCTCCTGAATCGCTGCCGGGGGAGGGAGCGAAGGGGCCGGGCACCAGGCGTCGAGGCCAAGGGGATGGCAGTGAAGAGGGCGAAAGGTCCCGGGGGGCAGAGGGCCCAGCCGTGATCCTGCGAGGGGGGCCAGGGCTCCGGGTAGGGTGGGGGGGCAGCGGGCGGCGGCAGCAGTGGCCGCACATCTGAATGGAAGCGAGCTTTGTCCAGACCACCATGGCTCTGGGGCTGCCCTCCAAGAAAGCATCTTCCCGCAACGTGATCGTGGAGCGCAGGAACCTGATCACCGTGTGCAGGTGGGCGCCGCTGGCGGTCCGGGTGGGGTGGTTAGAGAGAGGGTTTGAGGCGGGCTGAGAAATCTAAGGGTTGAACGTGCCCACGGGGATGCTCTGCAACCACTGGAAAAAGGCAGGACAGGAGGCTTAGAAGGAACGCGCTCACTATCCTTTATCCTTCCCAGGCCCGGAACCTGGAGGCGGGCTGGAGTGCCGGTCCTTATTTATTTATTTATTTATTTATTTATTTATTTATTTATTGGCTAAACCAGGCCTATGCCCGGCCTGGGGTTTGGGGGGGAATGAAGAGAGTTTAATTGGCACTGCAGCTTCCTGTGAGAACCAGGAAGTGACATTGTGTCTAAGAGGGGGAGGGGGAGGATAGCTGGCTCTCTTCCTGGCAGTGGGGGCAGGGTGGGCAGGGGGGGACTCCATGGGGTTGGGGGTGGATGTCCTCCAAGTCCCCTCTTGCCACCCCTGTCATCTTGGCCTCTTGGGGTGGAGCTTTCCTAAGAGACTTTCCTAACCTCAACCCTTCATGAGGCAAGGATGGTGTTTCTGAGCAGCTGCCGCCTGTGGCAGGATCAGCCGGGCACAGCAGTAAAACCCCTGAACTCATCCAGTGAAGGTCGAGGACGCTACCCTGTTGTAGGAAGCATCCAAGGCCTGGTTGCAGAAGCCTGGGCCCCTGAGTCTGAGGGGAGATTGGGAGCCCAGATCCCCAAATCTCTGAGGGTGGGGCTGTTGCAGGGCTGCAGAAATTCTCAGCTTTCTTGGACACCAGGAAGTAATCCTTCCCACTTCAACCCTGCAGTGACTCACCCTCCCTGCCCTGCTCTGAGGCCAGAAAGCTGCCAGCTGTTCAGGCTCTCTCCCAAGCCCCACCTGTCCTTGCCTCTCCCTCTGGGATCTCCATGCCAGCTGCCTTCTCCACCTGCAGCCTCCATGCCTGCCATGTCCACCGGGTGCTTGGGTTCTGCTGCTCCCCGGTACTGGGCTGATTGTCCTTCCTTGCCAGTTCCGCCTGCCTGCACATGAGCCTCAGCCCTGTTCCTCCTCCCAGGACTCATGTCCACCTGCTGCCCAGTCTCCAGCACCCAGAGCTCCTTTGGATACCAGGGCACATGCCCAGCCATGTCGTCTCTGTTTCAGAGCCTCCTTTTCCCAGCGTCTCAAAAGTGCTGTGCACACCAGCCCTGTATGAAGGTGGCAGGGATGTAGAAGGAAGGAGCGTATTGATGACCTAGCCCAGAGCACGGCCACCACCATTGCCCAGATCCTGTCAGTGTGGTGTGAGGAGCTTCCTGCCCTTGGATCCACACCTAGGGTCAAGCTTTTGCTTCAGTGCTTAGCCGTGCCACCTTGTGGAAGTTTCCTAACAACTCTGTGCCTTTGGTGCTTTATCTTAGATTTTACACCTTAGATGTAAGAAGCCGTACCAAAGAATGGGTCATGGTGGGCCGTATTAGATACTAGCTGGTGCCTGGCACACAGAAACTGCTCTCTCAACGACACATTCTTCTTGTCCCTCTCGGCCCTTGGCCAGCTAGGCGCATCTTTTTCTTGCCCGCCAGGATAACCGGGGCTTTGAGTGGGGCAGGGGTCACTTGGCCTAAGCTGGAGAAGCAGAGATTCGGGTGACTCGGAGGTAGCTCAGAGTAGGGGACAAGGTGTAGTTTGGAGGGGTTGGGGACATGACAAATTCTCCAAAACCCCAGGGACCCCTGCTGCCTCATCACGGTCACGTGATTCTTCTACAGCTCCCAGCAGCTCCCTTTTGCAGTCTGCAGGCTCCCCTGGGCCCTGGCCTCCCTGTCTCCATGGTAACCCACAGCAGCTATGTTCCTCCTAACCAGGCTCACAGCATGGGGTTCCCAGAGGCTCTGACCAGCTTTCAGCTCCCCCAAGGACAGATGGCAGACGGCTGCCATGCTGACCAGGCCCCAGGCCTCTATTGAAGTCTGACCCAGCTGACCACAGATTGATGGTGTCCATAACAAAGCCAGTGAGAGTCTGATAACAGTCACAGGCTCCCTCCTGGCAGAGCAAGCCTTGACCCCTCACCTGGCCTGTGCCCAGCAATCCATACACTCTCACTTTCTCCCACCCTTTTCTGGGATCTGAACCAAAGTTGAATGAGGCAAGTGCTGATATTTCTGTCTGCACCCAAGGTGCAGGCTTTGAATCCAGCAGCCTTCTTCTCCCTAGCACAGTCCAAAATGGACCTGTCTGGGTTCTGGCTCTCCCCCCAGAGAAGCCCAAAGGCAGGTGGTGGGGAGAGGCTCAGCTGTGCTGTTGACGTGGGAGCCTTAGTGGCCACTGTTCCATTGAGGCCGGGCAGAGGCTTCTTAGGGCCTGAGCTCAGCACTTGTTTGTATGTGGTTTGTTTGTTTGTTTAGACAGTCTATGTAGTTCTGGCTATCCTAGAATTCACTAACCTGGGACTCAGATTCTCCTGCCTCTGCCTCCTGAGTACTAGGACCAAAAGTGTGTGCCACCATGCTTGGCTAGTACTTTTTAAAAAGATGACGTTTGTTTGTTTACTTATTTTGTGTGTGCAAGTGCCATGGTGTGAGTATGGAGGTCAGAGGTCAATTGATGGGAGCAGGGTCTCTCCTTCCACCACGGAGGTTCTGGGATTGAACTCCCATCACTGGGATTAGTGTCTTTAACTACTGAATTAGCTTACTGGCCAAGCCTTGGTAATTATAACAGCCACTGGGAAGCCATTAGGCAGAGCAGAAAGAGCCAAGAATGGAGAATGGGGCAAACGGTTGCCTCCTCCCAAGTTACCTGCTCTGATCACTCCATCTCTGGAGAGCCTTTAGCTTCCTTAGCTATAATAGGGGAAGGTGGTCGTAAGAGGACCTACCTTCCAGGGCTGTGACAAGGACAGGGGGATTGATACATACAGCTCTCGGCACATTGTACGTTTGGTAAACGTGGGTAGAATAAAAGGACAGCTCTGTGAGTTTGAGGCCAGCCTGGTCTACAGAGTGAGTTCCAGGACAGCCTCCAAAGCCACAGAGAAACCTTGTTTCGAAAAACCAAAAAAAAAAAAAAAAAAAAAAAAAAAAGGACAGATCTGAGTACTTCCGATATCCCTGGACATCCTACTCCTGCTCTGTCTCCAGAAACAGAGCAGCAGTGAGATGTTGGGAGCTGTGCGTCCTCTCCTGGTTCCACTCACTGCAAAGATGGCAAGTGGAGAATTCAGAGTAACGATGGCAGAGAATGGGAGAGGCTTAAGCAAGGCTGGAGAGGGTGATGGGGGCTGCTTGGCTCCAACCCCTTGGGCTCACCTGCCTTCTTCCGCTCTTTGTCCCTGAGAAGTCAGTGTCTGGGCCCCCACGTCCCTTCCAGGGACCTACTGCCAGAGCTCCTCCCACCTGATGGATGTTAGACCCGCAGATTGCATTCTCCCCCACACCCCAACTCTACGCTGTGGCTCTGGGCAGCTGGTGTGGGGGTGGGCTAGCTGAGAAGGGGGAGGGGGATGTCCCGGAGCTGAGTATTCACCTGGCTGGGCATGACAGTCCATGTGCACAGTGGCGGCTCATATGCTCTGATGTGGGCGGCCCCCAGCCCCAGAGAGATGGGAGCTCATTCTAACAATGTTGAAAGACTGTTTGGGGACATGGGTGCAAACTGGCTTCCGGCTCGTGGTTGACCCTCAGTTCACACACGTGGAAAATGCCACTCTGAAGGGTGGTGGGGACAAAGGGACTGGGGACTATCTCCGAGGGCTTGCCGTCTTGTTTCTACATATTGTTCCGTCCTCTCTCGTACCTTGTCCCTGAAACTTCCTTTCTTTTCTGCACCTACTCTGCTAATCAGCTTCCCACCGTCCCCCTCCCTGCCCCTGTCACCCTCTTATTCCACCTAGTTTGGAATCCTCTGTGGTCACTCGAGTCTCACCCGCCCTCACATCACACCCATGCCCTTCGTGAGCCTGTCACTTCCTCCCTGACCCCTTCCTCTGTACCCTGTTTGCCCCCTTACCCTGTCCTCCCTTCCACCCAGGTTCTCTGTGAAAACCTTACTAGAGAAGTACACAGCAGAGCCCATCGATGACTCATCCGAGGAGTTTGTGAATTTCGCAGCCATTTTGGAGCAGATTCTCAGTCACCGTTTCAAAGGTAGGCAGGCCATCATCAGCCACCCGCTGCGACTCCAGCCTGGGGCTTTCACCCTGCTCTGATATTCTCTATGGATTTCTAAATCCCGTTCCTGGTTCAGGGCCCCACACTGGGCTGACACAGGAACAAAAGCACACTCTGGAGACTGGGGTCATCTACCCACAGCTCCATCACTAGGCGTGCTGGCAAGCCTGCTGCTTATGCTGGGGGAGACAGTACATGTGTGTGGTGACTCATGCTTATTATACATGTGAGTGCTGTATGACAGTACATGTGTGTGGGGACTCATGCTTATACATGTGAGTGCTGTATGACAGTACATGTGTGTGGGGACTCATGCTTATACATGTGAGTGCTGTATGGCAGTACATGTGTGTGGGGACTCATGCTTATTATACATGTGAGTGCTGTATGACAGTACATGTGTGTGGGGACTCATGCTTATACATGTGAGTGCTGTATGACAGTACATGTGTGTGGGGACTCATGCTTATACATGTGAGTGCTGTATGACAGTACATGTGTGTGGGGACTCATGCTTATACATGTGAGTGCTGTGTGGCAGTACATGTGTGTGGGGACTCATGCTTATACATGTGAGTGCTGTATGGCAGTACATGTGTGTGGGGACTCATGCTTATACATGTGAGTGCTGTATGGCAGTACATGTGTGTGGGGACTCATGCTTATACATGTGAGTGCTGTATGACAGTACATGTGTGTGGGGACTCATGCTTATACATGTGAGTGCTGTGTGGCAGTACATGTGTGTGGGGACTCATGCTTATACATGTGAGTGCTGTATGGCAGTACATGTGTGTGGGGACTCATGCTTATACATGTGAGTGCTGTATGGCAGTACATGTGTGTGGGGACTCATGCTTATACATGTGAGTGCTGTATGGCAGTACATGTGTGTGGGGACTCATGCTTATACATGTGAGTGCTGTATGGCAGTACATGTGTGTGGGGACTCATGCTTATACATGTGAGTGCTGTATGACAGTACATGTGTGTGGGGACTCATGCTTATTATACATGTGAGTGCTGTATGACAGTACATGTGTGTGGGGACTCATGCTTATACATGTGAGTGCTGTATGGCAGTACATGTGTGTGGGGACTCATGCTTATACATGTGAGTGCTGTATGACGGTACATGTGTGTGGGGACTCATGCTTATACATGTGAGTGCTGTATGGCAGTACATGTGTGTGGGGACTCATGCTTATACATGTGAGTGCTGTGTGGCAGTACATGTGTGTGGGGACTCATGCTTATACATGTGAGTGCTGTATGGCAGTACATGTGTGTGGGGACTCATGCTTATACATGTGAGTGCTGTATGGCAGTACATGTGTGTGGGGACTCATGCTTATACATGTGAGTGCTGTGTGGCAGTACATGTGTGTGGGGACTCATGCTTATACATGTGAGTGCTGTATGGCAGTACATGTGTGTGGGGACTCATGCTTATACATGTGAGTGCTGTATGACAGTACATGTGTGTGGGGACTCATGCTTATACATGTGAGTGCTGTGTGGCAGTACATGTGTGTGGGGACTCATGCTTATACATGTGAGTGCTGTGTGGCAGTACATGTGTGTGGGGACTCATGCTTATACATGTGAGTGCTGTATGGCAGTACATGTGTGTGGGGACTCATGCTTATACATGTGAGTGCTGTGTGGCAGTACATGTGTGTGGGGACTCATGCTTATACATGTGAGTGCTGTATGGCAGTACATGTGTGTGGGGACTCATGCTTATACATGTGAGTGCTGTATGGCAGTACATGTGTGTGGGGACTCATGCTTATACATGTGAGTGCTGTATGGCAGTACATGTGTGTGGGGACTCATGCTTATACATGTGAGTGCTGTGTGGCAGGGACCCTTTCCAAACTCTCTGGTCTCGCTGAGTCCCCTCCCTGCCCTGGCTCAGCTTGTGCCCCAGCAGGTCCAGTGAGCTGGTTCAGCTCAGATGGGCAACGGGGCTTCTGGGACTATATCCGACTGGCCTGCAGTAAAGTGCCCAACAACTGTGTGAGCAGCATTGAGAACATGGAGAACATCAGCACAGCCCGAGCCAAGGTGAGGGAGGGGCTGCAGCAGGTGGCAACATGCCTGACTCCTGCTTTGGACATAGGGGCCCTGTCCTTACCCCTTGCCCGCGGCACTGGGAAGGGAGACCATACCTGGTGTTGGACAACTAAAGGTGACCATACTTTCTAGGGCCGGGCATGGATCCGGGTGGCTCTGATGGAGAAGCGCATGTCAGAATACATCACCACAGCTCTTCGGGACAACCGAACCACCAGGTCAGACCTCTCAGACAGCAGTATGCACCTGCATTGCCTATGTCTTAAGTCCCCACAGCAGCCTTCCATACCTGGACCACAAGTTCCAGCATGCACCAGTAGTTTGCTTCTCTCAGATGACATGGTAATGGGACTTTAGAAGCCTCAGTCACATACTATTTTCCTTGGTGTTGTGCCATGACGTACAACACACAGCTCTGCCAGCTCTGCAAACAAAGGCAGTCACTCTGTTCTTCCAAGAACAGAGTTCCAATGTGTGGAGCTTCAGTGCTTGACCTGGGGGTTTGCCAAGAAGGTGGGTCCTGAGGGTCAAGGATCACAAGGCAGAATGTGTCATTGTTGGGGTGGGAAGCTATTTTAGGTCCCCTAAATCTGGCATTTTTACTGCATTCTATTCCTAGTCTTTACAATTCAGAGTTGTCTTTTTTTTTTTTTTTTTGGTTTTTTCGAGACAGGGTTTCTCTGTGGCTTTGGAGGCTGTCCTGGAACTCGCTTGGTAGTCCAGCCTGGTCTCGAACTCACAGAGATCCGCCTGCCTCTGCCTCCCGAGTGCTGGGATTAAAGGCGTGCGCCACCAACGCCCGGCCAGAGTTGTCTTTTTTTGTTGTTGTTGTTTTTTTTGTTTGTTTGTTTTGTTTTTTGAGACAGGGTTTCTCTGTATTGTTTTGGAGGCTGTTCTGGAACTCGCTTGTAGACCAGGCTGGCCTCAAACTCACAGAGATCCGCCTGCCTCTGCCTCCCGAGTGCCAGAGTTGTCTTTTGAGGACCTACTATATGTATGACAAGCACTAACGATTGATTGAAAGGATTGGGGTGACCCAGAGCTTGATAGCGGCTGCTAAGTTTATAGACCAGAAGAGTGTCATTTGTAAGGAGCATGCATTGGGATAGGTGTGGGGATGGGGTCAGGCTCGAGTTCCCGTGAGTGATAGTCCAAGCAGGAGACAAGGGCTGGCAAGCTGGAAGGATGCATCTGTTTCCTCTAGGAAAGTCTGTAGTAAGTAAGCCAAGCAGATAAGTCCTGGGAGCGGCCCCCTGGGAGTCTGTTCTCTCTCTGCAGACGGTTCTATGACTCCGGAGCCATCATGCTACGGGAGGAAGCCACTGTCCTCACAGGGATGCTGATCGGGCTCAGCGCCATTGACTTCAGGTGAGGTCTGAGTGGCGGTGGTGAACGGGACGTTCTCCCCCACAACTGTCCAACGCCCCTCATTCCCTCCTCCCACCCCGTGCCTCTTGTGCCCCAGCTTCTGTCTAAAGGGCGAAGTTCTGGACGGGAAGACGCCGGTGGTCATCGATTACACACCCTACCTAAAATTCACCCAGAGGTGAGCAGCCCCGTTATTGCGGTGGGTGAGGAGATGGGCACCGGAAGGGCACTGAGTGTCATCCTGGTATCACTGCCCAAGGGTCGGAGTTGGGGTGCTAGTGGGGCGAGGCGGGGCGGAGCCGGCCCCACCCACTGCTCCCGCTCCTAAGCTACGACTACCTGACGGATGAGGAGGAGCGGCACAGTGCGGAGAGCAGCACCAGCGAGGACAACTCGCCTGAGCACCCCTACCTGCCTCTCGTCACCGACGAGGACAGTTGGTACAGCAAGTGGCACAAGATGGAACAGAAGTTTCGCATTGTCTATGCGCAGAAGGTGAGTGAGGCGAGGCGCGGGGAGATGGGCGTGGTGTAGGCAGGGTCCCAAGTGGGACCCCAGCTGGGAACCCTTTGGAAGCCCTGGCTGAGCAGGCGCTGCTCTGCTCGGTAGGGATACCTGGAGGAGCTGGTGCGTCTTCGCGAGTCGCAGCTGAAGGACCTGGAGGCGGAGAACCGGAGGCTGCAGTTGCAGCTGGAGGAGGCTGCAGCGCAGAATCAGCGTGAGAAGCGGGAGCTGGAAGGCGTGATCCTGGAGCTGCAGGAGCAGCTGTGAGCCCGCCTCCTGCCCTGCCCCATCCCTGTGAAGCCCAAAATGACTCCATTGGATGGCATCACTTTCCTTACACCAACATCCAATTTGCATCAACCCACCCGTATCCCACTCCCCCAAGGTCCTGTGGTTGCCAACCATTACCCCCAACATTAACATCCTGCAGCCTCCATCACCCATCAGTTAGTGACACCAGTCACCCAGTGATCCCACAACCTAGAACATTTCTCCCCTAAACCAGTCCCAGCTTGTTAGCTAGCATAAATCCCACCCCTCCACTTTCCTCTCTACATTATCCCAACTAACTCCTAAACACTCCATCCTTCCAACTCCCAGCATGAGTGCACTAGTCCTGGCTACCCCTCTGTCCCTAGGCTACCCCTCTACCCACTCCAGGATCTAACACTGCCTCCCTGGCCCCTTTAGAAACATGGCATCTTTAATTAGTAGGTTTCAGACTTGTGCTCCTCCCGCCTCCACCTCCTAGTGCTGCAACCCCAGATATGTGCCATCATCCCTGAGCAGTGTGTACCCCAATTTTTACTACTCAGGCTTCCTTTCTAAGTCCTGGCCCCCACCTTTGCTGAGTCTCGCTTCCCTCTCCCAGCCAGGCCTGATCCCCCTTCCCCTCCCAGGACAGGTCTGATCCCCGGTGACCATGCCCCCCTGGCCCAGGGTTCCAAGGAGTTCACTACATCCCTGGTCAACCAATGGCCCTCCCTGAGCACACTCAATAGGCCTGAGGGTGCCGGCAGCTCCAAGCTATATCGGAGGTAAGCCCCAACCCAATTGCTGCCCCCAAACTCCCTCCCAGGAAGCAGGGCCTGGAACTCTGGGCCACGGCCTGCACACTTTTCTGTCCTGCCATAGACACAGCTTCATGAGCACCGAACCGCTGTCTGCAGAAGCCAGCCTGAGCTCAGACTCCCAGCGCCTGGGAGAGGGCAAGCGGGACGAGGAGCCCTGGGGCCCCATCGGTGAGCACCCCCACACACACACCTTGGCACTTAAATACTTTAGAAAATTGCTGCGGTCTATAGTGGAACCTGGCTGAAGCCCTTCCAGTATTTACATCACAGCACCAACGAGGGGCTTGGCTTGGGGATTCAGAGAACCAAGTGCAAATTTAAGCTGCACCTCCTCACCTGCAAGCTTGGTCAGTCACTTCACCTTGCTGACCCATGTTCCCATCTGTAAAATAGGGACATTGGTAAAAAGAATCTCGTGTCCATGTATGGCGAGGGCGCAGTGATCTTTTAATGTGGTGTGACATCGTCACAGGGATCATACTCCAGGGATCTCTCAGCTAGTTTGCTCTTACCACGTGCAAACTGTGAACTGCTTGCCTGACCAATGTTTCCCCTTTTCTTTGGTGCCAGGAAGCTCAGAACCAAATTAGTGGCTCCCTCCGAGTGAATGCCCAGGACCTCAACGCATGCATTTTTATGTTGACCTCACCCCTGGCTCCAACTTGGTTTCTCCCTTCCTAGTTTTCCCCATGCCTGGACTTCCTGTTGTTTTCTTTTCTTTTTTTTAATATATAGATATATAACTCCACTGTATCAGATAACTGGATTTTGAAACACAGGCTTTGGACATGTAACCCACCACACTGTGTTTGTGACTCTGTGTGTGTGTGTGTGTGTCTCCCCAATAAGACTGTGAGCTCCATGCGGGCAGGGACCATGTCTTGTCCATTCTCTGTATTCCCAATGTGAAACAGAGCAAATGCTCACTGTGTGCTTAATAAATGGACAAAGAGGCTGAACCTCAGAGGGAGACAGAGACATGAACAGATGATTATAATACAGTGTCCCAAGCCCAAAGTAAGGCACACTCAATCAGGGCTTAATTACAAATGGCAGATGCTGCAGGAGAGGCCAAGAGTCTCCTGGGGGTGACCTGGAATTATCCTTTTACTGCCCATCCATGAAATCCTCTGTCCCACATACAGCCTGGTTGGTCCAGCCTCACCCGCCCTCTTTTCCCAGGGAAGGACCCCACGCCCTCCATGCTGGGCCTCTGCGGCTCCCTGGCCTCCATCCCCAGCTGCAAGTCCCTGGCGAGCTTCAAATCCAACGAATGCCTGGTGAGCGACAGCCCAGAGGGCAGCCCGGCACTTAGCCCCAGCTGAGGAGCAGCATGGGCAATGTCAGCCCCACCTGCCAGGGGCCACGGACAACTGCCACCTTTGAGTCCCCCAACCCAGGCAACCCTTCGAGAACGCTGCCCACCTAGCCGAGGGTCTCTAGGGAAAGACAACCCAAGCCTCTTTTGTGCTTCTGGCCAAGGAGGCAGGAGCTGTACTTGGAAGTGGCAAGACCAGGAGGAAGGGGCACCCAGGTCACAGGTAGTCAGTCCCCTGGGAAGGCTGCTCCATTCTGGTGGCCCTGAAGTCTACCTGGGTCCCTTTGCTCATCTTCCACACCTGCCTCAGGAGCAGGTGGGCCAGCCCTGGCATTCCTGCTGCCCTGCCTCTGGTCTGTCCCTGTGTACCCTCTGAAGTCACCCTTCCTTGGTACCTATGTGGGGAGATTAGGCAAATAAAAACCAGAGGACTAAGGTGGCTTTATCTGTTGCAGTGGGGTAGGGCTCCATAGCAGGCTCTCTTAACAAAGATAACGGTGCAGACCAGTACGTGCCCTGTGGGAGAAAGTGGGGCCGTAATTCAGGGCAAGGGGGAGGGGCGTCTGCAGATCTGCAGTGCTTTCTGGTTGTCCCCTCTAATTCTTTCTCAAGCCCTAGGAGAGCCCTCTGACGGTGTGCCTTTGTGGGGCATTTGCCTGCCACAGGTCTATGCAACTCCACTGTGGGTCAAAGTTGCAGCCCCATCTGTTAGGCCAGAGCTGGCAAGCAGGCAACTCTGCCCAGTGCCACACCTGTGTGCACTTGTCCTCGCCCCAACACAGTGGCCTAGCACAGAAGGACCTCACCACCACACGGCAATCTCGCACCCTCATCCTGTCTCACTGGGTACCCGTAAGGTGGGAAGCTTTTAAGACAGGATATTTGGAGCTGGCCTGGGGTTCACTATGTAGACCAGGCAGGTTTCAGACTCAGATCCACCTGCCATCTCGTGCTGGGATTAAAAGTGTGTGCCATCATGCCTGGAGTGGCAGCCTTTTTTTTTTTTAAAGACAGAATCTTACTATGCAGTCCTGGTTGAGCCAGTGCTTGAGGAAATCCTTTTGCCTCAGCCTCCCAAGTGCTGGAATAACAAGTGTGGGCAACTGACTGGGAACCCCCACATGTACACACACACCCCAAGACACCGCAGTCACAGCAGTGCACAGGTCATCATCTTTAGACGGGGGAATAAACAGGGCTGCCTGGCCCGAGGTCTTGATTCCTCGAGGCCAAGCTACAACAAACATTAAGGGGCTACAAAGAAAGGGGCAGCTGTCAGTCACATTTGGTCTTGAGCTCGGAGGTGGACAAGTGGTGATCGTAGTAAGGAGAACAGCAGGAATAAAATGTGAGGGTAGCTGGGTGACTGGGTTGGGAAGGAAGGCACTTGGCTCAGACTCCTGCCCCCGCCCGTTCAAGAGCTGTTGCTCCTCGCCTTTCAGGAGCCCAGAGGCTGTTCCTGGTTGAGCCTCTGGAAGAAACTTTTGCCAAACTCGTAGGTGCTGATCATGATGGCACACGAGGGAGCAGCCTTGATGATTCTTGGGAGGAAACCTGTGGTGGGAGGACACACCTTGGTTAGGGGTCCAGGTCCCTTCGCAGATAGATATAACATGGACGTACACAGTACATGTACCCACCTGCAAACAGTCCCCTGGTGCCCGACTCAGCCTGGATTCTCCGAAGCAGGAGCCAGGTGGAATCAATTCTTGGGGGCTTCACTGCAGATTCAAGGCCCAGTTCAGCAGGACTCAGCGTGGGCCCCTGCCAGCCCCCACCCTGACTAGCCGCCCCCTCACCTCTCACAGCCTCCAGTGCTCCCAGTGTGATCTGTCGCTGTGTCTTCACCACATCAAAGGGTAGAGTAAGGGTGGCAGCCACCTGGTGGGATGGGGGAAGGCTCAGCTCCATTCCCAGGCCCCTTTCCAGCTCTCCCATAGCTGGTGGGGGGACTAAAGCACCCCGAGGGTGGCCGAGGAAAGCGAGCAGGCCTGGGTATCTCCTCACCCCCAACCCAGTCAACTCACCGTTCCTGAGATGCCACCAGCCACAAAGCTGACGCCCACAGATGTCTGGTCTTTCGGCCCATTCAGCCAGCTCTTCACCAGCTCATAGTTGAACCAGTACAGAGCTTAAGAAACAGATACGTTCATTAAAGGTGGGAACCAGGGAGTGGGCTCCAGACTTCTCGTCTCCCACCCACAGCCAGACCACCCCAGGTGCTGCCTGCTCTGTACCTAGGCAAAACCCCTCCCTGCCAAGCCCATATCACAAATAAGGAACCCAAGGCTCAGAAGTGATGAGTTCACGGCCGTCAGAGACAAGGAGGGACTCATCTGTAGAGACCCCCCCAACATTATCCAAGGCCTCTTTTACCCCATGACCTGAACGAGGCGCCTACCTGAGAAGGGCACATCTCGGAGGGCGGTGGGACCCCAGCCCAGCCACAGTGAGCGCCAGCCCCCCTGAGCCACAGCAGCTTGAACACAGGTAGCCAGCTCCCGGTATGACACGTGCTGAGCCTGCAGCTTGGTCCGCACGAGCTCCAAGGGGCTGATGACGGTTACCGTGCCCACTGTGGCGGGTGAGACGGTGGAAGGTCAGGCCACTGATGCCACTCGTCAGAAACCAGCTCTTGCCCCGGGTCTGAGGGTTTAGGATAGCCCCCCACCCCCAGGCTGGCAGAGACTGTCACTGGGACCCAGGAGGAACAGAGGGAGGTCAAGAGCCAGGGCTGTGCTCACTGCGGGCGAGGGCACCAGCCACCATGGGTGCGTAGAGGTCAGAGATCAAGGACTGGCCACATAGGAAAGCCTTGAGTTGGTCATAGGCAGTGAAGTAGATGGCAGTAGCGGGCACAGTCATCACCCTGGGATATGAACAGAAAAGTTACCTAAGGGCTCCTAGTCCTTTCAAGCATTCCCTTCCTTACCCAGCCAATAGGAGTCAAGGGGAGGAAACACCCCATGGGGATGGGGGGCAACTCACAGGGTGGCTGGGAGGCCGCTCCACAGGGTCCTAGTGCCCTCATGCCTCACAATCTTCACAAAGGCATCCTGACCAAGCCAGCAAGAGCCCAGAGGAAAGATGGACATGAACAAGGTCTGTGATGGACTGGCTCAGAGCTAGTCAGCCCTCAGCTGATGAGAGCCAGCCAGCCCCCAGGTTTCCACACATGCAGCTGCCCATTGGTTCTAGGCGGACTCCCACTCGCTTTAAAACCTTAAGGAGGACTACATGCACTCTTCAGTAGCAGAATGCCAGACTAGCATGTATTTTTTAATTTTTATTTTTTGGTTTTTCGAGACAGGGTTTCTTTGTGGCTTTGGAGGCTGTCCTGGAACTCGCTCTGTAGACCAGGCTGGCCTCGAACTCACAGAGATCCGCCTGCCTCTGCCTCCCGAGTGCTAGGATTAAAGGCGTGCGCCACCAACGCCTGGCTCAGACTAGCATGTATCAAGCTCATGGTTTTGATTCTTAGCACCAGGACCAAAAAAAAAAAAATCTTCTGAAAGAATCCCAGGCAAAGCTGGGTGGTGGTGGCACAAGCTTTTTTTTTTTTTTTTTAAGACAGGGTTTCTCTGTATTGTTTTGGAGGCTGTCCTGGAACTCGCTCTGGAGACCTTGAACTCAGAGATCCGCCTGCCTCTGCCTCCCAAGTGCTGGGATTAAAGGCGTGCGCCACCAACGCCCTTTCTTTTCTTTTCTTTTTGGTTTTTTGAGACAGGGTTTCTCTATGGCTTTGGAGGCTGTCCTGGAACTAGCTCTTGTACTGGTCTCCAACTCATAGAGATCCGCCTGCCTCTGCCTCCGAGTGCTGGGATTAAAGGTATGCGCTTGGGAGGCAGAGGCAGGCGGATCTCTATGAGTTTGAGGCCAGCCAGGTCTACAGAGCAAGTTCCAGGACAGCCTCCAAAACAATACAGAGAAACCCTGGGTGGGGGGGAGGACAACAAATCCCAGGCAGGCCCTCCCAACACTGAGCAGCTCACCAGTCCCGACACCTGCAGCCCTAACAAAGCAAGCCCCTTGTATATATACATGGTTGCTCCTTACCAAGGTGCCAGTGAATCGGGTAGGATCCTGAAACCAGGTGGCACAGCGAGTGCCATTAGGACACAGGTACAGAGGCTCCAGGACACCACTGCAGTATAGGAGGCACTTCCCTGGGGACTGTAGAGTAGAGGGAGCTGGGGAAGGGGATGGACATTAGGATGGCAGGGTCTGGAAAATGGCTGGGTAACCCAGCTAGGTCACTATGTGGATATTCCCGTGTAGGACACTAGGCTGGCTAATGTGACCTCAAAGTGTATACTAGTCTATGACCATGGCACCCCATGTACTCTAGGGACACACCTTCCACAGGGGACGTTTGGGGCACTCACATTTGGTGTAGAAGAGATTCCAGAATCTGGAAGGTGTCAACTCTGAAACACAAGTCATTCAATGGTGATCAGGAATTACCCCCACACACACTAGGATCCCAATCTCTGGGAGATCCTTATTTTGTCAGGCAGCTCCCTCAATCTGGCTCCAGCCTCAGGTACTCACCGCTGGCTACTGAGGGCCTCTGAGACTGAAGGCGGACCTTCACCACATCCAGGGGTGTCACTGGGGAAGGGGGTAGGTCTTAAGGCTCCGTCAGCACCCCATCACCCTCTTCCTCATCAGGACACAAATTGCCTCCAACCTCTAGCCCACATCAACCCCCACCTGGCCACATCCCATCTCCCTAAGCCTTACTGAAGAGGGAGGTGACCACGGCCCCAGCTCCTGAGGCCACCATTTGCTGAAGGGGGCTAATGCCCCCGGGGTCCTGATCATCCATCTTGGAATTTCAATCCTGAAAGATAAACCCGCGGTCAAATGGAGCTAGTCCTCTGACACAAATAGCCTGGGGAGAGACAAACATGAGGTAAGGCACCAGGGCTCATCCAGCGCCTGCCTCCAAAACGTTTCAGATCCGTAAACGGCTTCACTTTGTCAAAGGGGAAACTAAGGCTCAAGAGATGCGGTGACTTTCAAGGTTACATCATTAGTTTGGAAAGAAGCTCTGCCTGTCCCGCTGGCCAATGGCAGTGACAGCCAATGGCATTTCCTCAGCCGCATGCTTACTATGCACCTCCGGACTTCAGAGGCCAAAAGATCGAAACACCTGAGCCTTGCCCCTCCATCTAACATCTGGGCGGGCACATGGGCGAGAGGTGGAGTTGAGCTTGAGAAGAAACGAGTAAACAAATCTGGGGATAGAGAGGAAGGTCCCTTCCCTCTAGAGATCGCTGGCCCTCCCCCACACTGCCAGCCCAGGCCAGATAGGCCAGGCCCGGAGGCCTGCACGGGAAGGCCACCCTCTGCCTCCTCTCTCTCCTAAGTACAAGCCGCAGGCTCAACCGAGATGGAAGCAGAGACCCGGTAACAATCCCTCTCTCCGAGAT